GGGGGGGGGGGGGGGGGGGGTTCTTCGGCCAAGCCGGGTGTCCGTTGTTTATTGGCATGGTATTTTGTTCTTCGCGTTTTTCCGGCAAACTGCCGGAAACCTATTATTGGGGTGCTGTGTGCGTTGGGCCGGTATTGTACTGACTGTAAATAAGTTAGTTTTTGTATCCTTCGGGCATGATGTTGATAGGTTTTGGGCAACCCGGGGGGTCCCGATCTTGTGTGCGGTGCTCGTGTGTAAGTATTTCCGGCGTTCTCGCCACACCCAATGCTCAGGGCGTACTCATGTACATCGAGACAAGTACATCAATGTGTTCATATATATGCCGACCGTGCCTGCATGCGACACCACGTAGCACAACGTTATCAGTAGCCAAACTCACTGTTACCGTAGGTGCCGTGTTACAGTAGTCGCTCGACCCTTCTTGCATTTTTTTCATCAGGAATCAGGAGAGTTGTGCTGCTAGGTCTCAGGTCCCGACTCCAACAGGCACAAGCAAGCGTGTGCGGTGCAATAACAGGGGGGCACCACCAACAGCAATTTCAGTTCAAACCTAGCTGACGCCATTGAAGAGTACTCCACCTGTAGTTCGTATTGCAGCACAATTCCAAGTGCTATACAACCACAAGATCAGCAGCTAATATTATGAATGCTCGGTGTTGCCGGCACTGTGGCAGGGCATAAGCACGGTGCCTGTATGCGAACGCAAGTTTTCAACTTCATTCGTGCCTACCTCTCGATCATCTGCACTAACTAAGTTGAATTTTTATGCAATCTATTCTCTGGCGCTCAGTCCATCTTCCATCAAATTTTTGTAGCGATTGATGCTGTGGTGGGCGCGTTCTCGTGCTTGGTCTCTTTGGCGGGTGCACAGCAGCGTGGTTGCGCCGCGTAGATACGATCGGCACGTTTTTTTCGGGCACGGGCTGCGGGTTGCGCCGACAAGTTTTCAGCCTACAGTGGACGGAATTCGGCAAATCTTGGTTCCCTAGATAGCTATTGGAATAGTCTACTGCTGTAAACCTTTAGCGTTGGGTGGATGTACGCCGGTCGCGCTGCTCTTCTGTATAAGCCGATATTCTTTGTTCCGCCGCCATCTTTTTTTTTTTTTCAGCCGTGCAGCACTGTAAATGTACTCCACTGCCGCCACAGAGAGACAAAAATAGACCAATTCATCCGGTACGTCACACAAACTCCGCTTGTGGTCACGGTTGTAACATGAATCATCCAATAAATTGCCCAACTGCTACCTCTAGGGCATGCAACGTAGCCGGTCTAGCCCTCAAGCACCGCCACTTTTAGGCACCGGCCTTCTGTGCTGGGTGTTGTGTGGGCTCATGGTGTTCGCCGGTCATATGCATCAGCGGACGCCCTGATGGCCGTACGCGTATGCCCGACACCTTTGGAAGAGGAAGTCTCTTGCGTAGAATACTGGGCACCACTTCCTCGGCCTGCTTTTTTGTGCGCATTCTCGGCGTCGTTGCGGTTCTCTTTCTGGACAGGAATGCAATGGACTACGAAACATTTCCCCGTCCCGATGAAACTTTCATGTTGCGCTCTCCGAGGGCACGACCAATGACTGCTGTTTTCGAAACAAGCAGTTGGCATTGGCGACGAAGGATGTAAGCAACAGCCACGTTGCCCACAGACTCGCTGATTCGCAAATGCAATGCCGTGCCGAAAAAGCACAGCGTGTTGACCTCGTGGAGAGCGGGCGCAATACGACGAGAATGCAACCCCTCGTTCTCGAAACCCGTCGTTGCTTAACGAACTGATTATTACCGCAGGTCTATCCATCTAAGGTACTATGCCCGTTCGACCCAAGCGGCAGGTGTCCGAGCGTTCCTGCTCAGGTCCAGAGGTTCCGCTTTTTTAGCTTCGTCTTCTTTTTGCGACTTGCCTGTGACGACCAATCACCACAGGTAGTCTCTAGCCGACTTCTCACTCGTGCCGGTTACCGCCCAGGTGGCCATTTCGGAACCTCGGCGCATATTCCCGACCACTTTCGCATCACAGGCCGTTCCTGCCTGGATCACAGGAGGAGTAGCAATCGTAGCAGCCGCTTCCCCTCGAACATCTCCTGCCCCCCCCCCCTGCTCGGCCCAAGCGTCCGACCCTCCTGCCTGACCATGAAAACGCACGGCCGTTGACGACTTGGACCCCGCAAGCGGCCCGTCAACAGCAGACCCGCTCCCACCCTTCGCTTGTGACCTATCCCCTCCGCTGCCGGCCCCAGCCTTGGAGTTCCCCACCGCCGGTGTTCGTCCTGCGACCGACCGGCCGTCGAGGGCCCCGAGAGAACGCGACTTGCGTAGCACAGAGTCGCGATCTCGGGGTTGGTTGCTCGTAGCTGCTTCCCAAAGGTGCTTCCCGGTCGCCGGAACAACAGGCATGGACCTCTGGCTCGCGAAGTACATCTTCCCGTCAGGATAGGGCTCCGGAGGTTCCTGTGAACGGGGAATTGATGGGGATGGCAACGAAGGAACCAGGGCCAGTCATTGGAACTACTCGCACAGCATCCGCAGTGTCCGAGCTTTCTTACAGCTTGCAGTTGACTCTATGGAACCGTCCCCAAGAACGTACCCGCGGGTGTTCGTTTCGTCGGGGTGTAGGCCCGATTCTTCGATTCCCGTGCTGCGAATTTTTCCTCAATGCTGGGGTAGTCTACATATGCAATGTGCAGTGGAACACAGAGCACCGTGTTCAATGATCTAGATTCCATCATTGCATAGATACCTCCTCAAAACGAAGACTTCTCCGGACATCCCCGTCAGGACAGGAATACTCTCCGTTCTTAACCACCAGCCGAAACCGCCCGTGCTGCGGTAGCTGTTGGCGACGAGCGAGAAAAAGAGGGCGGCCGCAGATGCTGAGTACAGCATCGACAGGGCAAAAGTGAACGAACGAATCTCCTTCGAGAAAAAAATAACGCTGGTTGCAACAGCCACAGGCATGCTTTGAAGTAGGCACGATGGAATCGGAAGAGAAAGTAGGCGCTCGCGCCGCACTACATCTTTAACCTTCCAGCATATCTTCCTGTTTTGGTGATTCGCCACCGGCTCCCTGTGCTTGACACGAAACCCGTCTGTGTTGTGCAACACGTCACGACCAAAAAAAGTACCAACTTTCACACGTGCGGATATTTATAGCATTGACAGATAGAGCCATATTCATCAGCACCCATATTAGAGCCCTCGCTGCTGTTCACCTCCTTGCTTAGATGGCGGTCTCGAGAGAACCCTAGTGCCGATTTGTATTCACCCTCGTTCAGTAGCTCCGGAGGAAACTTGACCCCTGCCATGCTCTCCCAACCGTTATCTCTGTACCTGAACCCTGGATGGAAAGGTCGGTCGCCCATCCATTTATTGGGGTTTTCCTGAGAGATTGGGCGCGTGTGATACCGTACAAGTGTGTTATAGCAAGCAAAACAATTGACCCACACGTTTCATGGAAGTATAGTCTATGGACGGAATGGGCCGAAAAGCGCACGCTTTGCGTGGCGAACAGCTGACGATACCGAGCACGCCAGGCTCGGGGAAGGCCACCAAAAAAGAAAAATTGTCAGTCCCCAAGAGCGAACAAGGGCACCATGATCAAAAACTCACGCGTCTGCAAGTTGTGGCACCCCCGACACCCCGCTCCTCGTACTCTCCCCAAGAAAACAGGCTATTCTTCACCACCGCGGAGAAAATTCTCTGCATGTCGTTCCGGTCTGCGTACTGTACGTCTGGGCCTGAGAGCAGCGACAGCCACGTAAAGATCGGGGCAAAGCAAGAAAATCACGAAAAAGCTTGAACTTTGATAACAACGGCAACGAACGGCTGCTGCACAGCACCGAGTGTTGTTGGTTGATTCACGAAAAAATGGTAGGAGGGACACCTACGTCGCGGACAGAACAGCTTAGGACGCAAGCAGGGCGGTGCTTGTGCCGAAGCCACACCCTGCACCTCTCGAATACGCGCCTAGAAGGGTAAAACAACATCCATCCATCGTGTTGCGAGAGGGATATGTCCATTGTGGTGTTGGGAAGGATGTAGTAGCGCACCACGCAAACCAGGGTTTCCAGAACACAGATTGGGGGGAGTGAACAAGCCTTTTGCATAGTACATATTGCCGAGCCGAATTCGTAAGGTGCTCTATATCGACCATCTTACCTATCTCTTTCGCCTTTTCTCTTGGGCGCAGGAAATATCGCGGAGGCTCCCAGTGGGGATGCTCAACTCGCCCTCGTATCTTAGCCTGTCAGTTGAGAAGTAGGCCCCACGTAAAATTCTTCATCGTTCCCGAACATGTCAGCATATCATAGTCACAGGGAAAACTAAAGCGATGCACAGAAATTCGCCCCAACCTCTACCGTCCATAAAACTAGCGCTCGTGCAATATACGAGGTGGTACATGTGTAGCGGATGCGATGGAATACGTGCCATCATACGGAGAACAACAACGTTTTCACCAGCAGCACGGCACAACTATGCCTTTTAGCATAGCCTGTTTTACGAGTATGCTCTTTTTTCAAGTACACACACACCGTGTCGGTGATGAATACTGTCGGACGGCAGGGATTTTGCAACGCATTCGGGTCGTTACCCCGCATGCGGCTTGGTTCTAGCAGCGTTTCCATTAGATCCGCTGTTTTTTCCTTGTCAAGCTCTCCGCCTCCGGAGAAGACCAACCTGCTCACAGTTACGGGAGGGGAAATGCGTGCCCTTCACCGTTTCATCGCCGAGGGGAGCCATGCAGAAGCCTTTTGAAGGGGGTCTGTAAGTATGCTTATGGTTTTAAGTGTCCGCGATCAAACTTGTAGGTCCACAACCAGACCACGGCGCTGGATGCGAAGAAGTTACATACAGTAGTTATCGCCCATGAATTTCTTGTGCCACGACTTGCACCAACACAAGACTTTTGCACCTCTTCTTCCTTGGTGAATAACCTCAAGCCGAGGGAACCTAAGCAAAGCTACCACAACTTCTGCACACAGCCACGTAATGCACCTTGGTATGTATTTGCGGCCCGATACGTGTCCATTCGACGGGCCGATTTCTGCCTCTTGCTGCCTGTCTCGGAAGGTATGCTTGAACACTGACGGCTGCGGGTCTCTCACCCAGCTCTTCATGTCTGCGTTTGCGTTGTCAACCCATTCGCAGCACCTGGTTCTGGAAGACTGGGCCATCTCCTCCCTGCTCACGAGTATCAAATCAAATCGAGCAGCCGTTGATATGCGAAGCGCGGTCTCTTGCTTGTGCAAAACCATTCAACAGGTGTTTGGTCGAGTGGATCGGGACGGCACGTACACGCCGCCGGTGACGTGAGTGGACGGATTTCAAGGGTGCAGCTGAAGGGTGCGTCACTTCCAGTGCCACCGTGGCTGCTAAGGAGGGTCACCTGGTCTTGTTGTAGATTCGGCGAATCATGCGGCCGGACTTTTTCTTGTCGTTCAAATTGTTCCATAGCACTTGCCGCGAAGAGGTTTGGTTTTGTTCAGCGTCCAGCTTCTCCTGTGTTCTTAAAGAGTACATGAGGAATCCTGCTAGCAGGCCACCATACCCTGAAGAACTGTCTAATTTTTGTCACGTGAGCCACGCCGCGCTGCTCGCGGTGTCGTAAGGCTCGCCGTAGCAACGTCCATCGGTGGCGGCGGGATTGCTGTTGATGATGCGGTGCGGCGTAGTCTGTACCGGTTCGGGAAGACGTTTCGCCGCATCGAGACGTCCCAGTTTGCGCAAAGCAATTTCTTGTGTGCTCTTGCGCTAAGCACCATCACGAGGTCGCATAGCATCCACAACGTCGCTTGGTACACACACAAGGTCGTAACTCACTTGATTGTGCACTGACTGATACCTACGCTACGTCATGTTCCTCGGTCGTAGCTGTCTTGTCGGCGACCACCTGAGAATATCATGAACGACACTCTGGACGATGCAGTTGCCCGTGCCCAGGCTCGAGAGGCGAGAGAGTCGCTTCGGGCGAACCAACATGTACAATCATACCACCTGGTGAGCCAATCTTTCCATCTACTTGCTTGGGCAGGTCCACACCGGCGGTTCATTCGCAGAAACCACACTACCGGTTGCATGCACATGCACATGCACCCGTTAACTCACAGCAGCCAGTAGTCTTGCATGAGGATTTAAATCCATTGGTTTTTCTACTGCTTCCCTGACAGGGTGGCCCACCGGAGCCCTGGGAAACTGCTCTTGGGGACACGGGGGAACGAGTGGGCCGACAAGGACGGACGGTTGTGGAATATGCGGCCAAAATGAATGCCATGGGTATCAACGAGAAGAGCCTCGCGGGACAGAACAATCCCATCGCAGATCACGTTGCCACCATGGGCCAGGACAAGATGCGCCTCCTTTCCAGTAATCCCGTAGTCCACGCTCCTACCATGGGAGATCTTGGAGGTGCAGGGGGTAGAAACATGTTCGGGGCCACTTGCGAAGGGCTGGAACACCCCTCATGGCGATACAATTTCCCTCTGCCGTTGACATGTTCAGAGACTGCCCGGCCTTTGTTAGAGATCCTAAATGTAGTCCATTTGAGGAGTTTGTTTGGAGGCGGGCAGCTTGATGTCAGAAGCGCAGAGAAGAGGAGGTTGACTCAGGACCATGGTATCATTGACGAGTGCGCCAGGCATGCTAGCCCATGCACAGCAGAAGGAAGATCGCCCCTCTACCGATACATATCTACCGATACATATCACCAATGATACACGAACCCCCTTCTTAGATCTCCGTAGATCAGTATCGAGTGCTGAGTGCTGAGTACCCCCAAACAGAATTCATACTAAAATCCTTAACCCGTACTTGTAGCAGTTGTAGTAATAGCGCCATTGCAAGAGTACTCGTTATTTTCTTCAGTATTTTCCCCCTTGCAATCTGCGTTCGACTTGACTGGAGTCTAGAAACGTGTATGTGCCGCCGTAAACATTGTGAAAACACGCTAAGTCCGTTCGAGCACATATCTCGAAGCTAAAGCCTTGATCCAGTGGCTTCATTTTGCCTCATGTTTTCTCGCCGGCCGACCAAGTGTAGGTGCTCCAACTTCAGATGCGGTTGCTGAAGAAGAAGAGGATGCTGTATCAGTCTCAAGCGGTTGGTCCGAGGATAGTGACGAAAGCACAGCCGCTCCCAGCCAAGCACAAAGAGATTCGGCTACAGCCGCAGCCGCCAGCGGACGGGACTCAGGAGAAAGTGAAGACGTATCTTGCGACGGGCTCGATCTCATCGACGACCCTGATATCAGGAACGCGGTGGAGGATTTCGATTCAAGGAACTGGACAATGGATCAACTAGAGGTCAGCTGTCAGACGCTGTTGGAAGAATGCTACGCGTCCGAAGATCGACGACGGCGACTGCTCTCGGCGGGGATGCTGCGTAAGCTGGTGGAGATCTACCCTTCTGCCCTCAGGTAGGTGCCCATATGTCCCACTTGGACAGGGAGCAGGGTCATGATCGCGTGGGTTTTTAAAGGTAAGAGAACTCCAGATATTTTAAGGGAAACGGCAAAAGGACCCATTCCCAAACAAAAAAAAACATAGAAAACGAGTCTCAGTCAACCAATCGGTCTGCTGGCCTTGCGCAGGTGGCTCCAACGAAACTTGGAGGCTGTCGTCAACGACGGATTGCCCGGAATGATCAAGGGCGTCCTTAATGCACGCGTTTTCAAATTGGACATCCTGTTGGGTATTCTTGCCCCGGCAATGGCGGAGTCGATGACCCAGCTGAACGTTGTTGCACGCGTCCTTCGCCTCATGATATACAGAATGGATACGGCTGTACGCGTGATCGTGTTTCGGTGAGGCTAGTCGTGTTCCTTGTGTCTTATCGGCTGAAAAAACGGGCGACCTCACATTCCACAGTATTTGCTGAGGAAGGAGAGGGAATTGTTCCTTGTGCGGAGTGGAGAAAGGGGAATCATATATAGAAAATTTCATAGAAGAAACAGCAGAATGACTAATTGGATATCAATACGCTGAACCAACCATCGCATGTTGCGCCGCCTTGCCGCATGGTAGGCCCCCTGCAATTCTGGCCCAACGAAGGCTGCATGATCGGGTTCGGCTTGTGAAACATGGTATCAAGTTGCTCCGTCTTGCAAACCTCTGCATTCTGCAGCTTTTCGTCGGTGGCATTATGCGACTGTTCACCGTTTCCGATCTACCGTCAACGCAGGTACACCTTCCCCAGATGGATAGCACAGTATCGGGAGCTCCCGGGCGCCATTGCCACGCACAAACGTATGACTCTCCTCATGCAGGTACGGTGTGTAGTTTGTGGCGATAATCCTTGCTGATATTTTTGGATGTCTATACTGAACAACAGCGTTATTGGTGGCAGACCAAGCTAAACCCAATTCGCATACCAATCGCTTGGAGATTCTGCGGCGTACATTGTTGCAACAACGCTTGCTTGTGTCACAATGGCCAGGGCGCGGAGCTTCGTACGCGATGGCGACGAATCAACGCCGACGAGAAGCACGGATCTCTCCCCCCAAGTTTACTCCATGCGTACCTATGCATCATACTGGCCCTCATCGACACCGACACGTGCCCGAGATTCTGCCGCATGAACAGAGTTAAGGTGGTCGGGGGCGGCGGCCTCCTGGCTCTGAGCGTTCATTTTAAAGCCGGAGACAGGTATGAAACCTTACAGGGGCATGAGCGAATACAACCTTGCTCGAATATATTGCGTGACGGCCAGAAATGTTTTCGGGTTGGTCTCGCCGTCAATGGTCAGCGTCACGGACACATGTGGAATACCACTTGGTAAGGGCCGGAGTAGGTTGTACTTTTGTCTACAATACCCCACCTGGTGTTGCTACTCCGTATGTACAATGACAAGCAGAGGGCCATTGATACTGCCCCGACAACACATTTCCCCCCATTGTTTCCGTTTCCCTGCACCAGTATCCCTTCTAAAATATTTTGAAGCAGTCTCTTCCTTCGCGCGGCTGTTTAGTGCAAGCATCGTATTTTTGTAAGCCTCCTGCGACGGCAGCACCTCGTCTCACCGATGATACCCCGCCGGCTTAGAAAAATGTCACGGTGGGGACTCGATATGAACGCAGAAGCACCCGGAGCATCTCCGGCGACTCATTTTCTCTCCCAACATGACTTGACCGAGTGCTTACGCAATAGGTCTCAGCGGCTCGCTTGTCGCATTCTCCGAGAGCTGGCCCGCGAACCATTACTGATATACGAGCTTCTCAACGCCGGCGTCGCAGAATATCTCTCTCGCTTGCTGCCTAAGCTGCGGGAGACTTCCATTGACAGGTTGTTGGAGGTGAGACAAGGCAAGCGATGCAGTGCGTACTTTGCCAGCACCAGCGTCGTAGCCTGATCAACGTGTTAGATATATATGACTCAAAGCCTTTATCTACCAGATCGGATCGAAATCTCTTCACCCCTGTCGTTCTAGCATATTGGGGTCCTCGTTAAAGCATGACCCGCGAACTGAACTGATACTCTACGTACACATTCCCGATGAAGACAACCAGGAAAAAAGGCGTCAACGTCCCTGACAGCTCCGTCCCACCATGTACCCTTATCGTTTCAACTGCGCTACACCAACGCCATTGTGAAACCTATCTCGTGATAATGTTGCTTTGTACAGAATTGTGGATCGACGGTAGAATCGCTGAATGGCTGCGCCTCCGCGATTCAACCACGCAGGCACTCGACGCTGTCGACTCCATGGCTTTTAGCGCCATGAGGTTCTGCAAGCTGAGATCTGCAAATCCCAGCCGAGGGCAAGGAAACTCGGCCCTTATTGCTGCACTGGTAGCGGACGGTAGCAGCATAGGGGGGCTAGAGTCGGAGATCAGGCTACCAGATGGCAACAAGGTAGCGCGAGGTTCAATCTTTGCCAGCGTAAGCCTACCGTCGTGTACTTGTATCCATGAAATCATGGGGCGCTAGAATTCATGCTTCATTTCTCCCTGAAAGCTACAGAGTTTTTTCTTCTCTCACGACGCCAAATCAGTCCATTGAGATACTGACACAAGTCTGAGCCTGTAAGAGAGCGGCCATTCTCCCATGAAACCCGCCCCTCTACCCGTCGGCAACACCCGAGGTTGCCCTTATCACGTGCCATGTTTCTTGTACAAAAGTGTGTAACGGTCGGTTAGGCACAGAACGCAGGTGGCGCCTTCGTGGTCCTTCTACTCTCCTCTCGATCCGCGAAAACAGGGTTGACAGATTTCCCCCCAACTCTGTGTGGCAAGACTCGTTCATCGCTGCGCTTGCCATGTTTCCACCAGGTGGAGGAAACCGTAAGAGAGCAGCTGGGACTCCCGAATCTTGTGGCTATTCTGACTGGTCTGCTAGGGGAGACAGACGTCCAACTGTACCTTGCCGGAGTCGTTATACTGGGCAAGGTATCGATGACTGCGCGAACCTGTTCCATTCTGCCGTTTCATGCTTTAGTTACTAGTAAAGCCTCGACATCTGATACATGGGGCCTACAAGTGCAGGGCGGTTGTATGTCGTGGCAAGAAACATTCCATGGTATCTGATGGCGACAACTAGCATGGGAAATCTTGGAACATTGTGATACACACCCTTGCTACGCCTGGGTTCAGCAACATCAAGCGCCCAAGCGCTGCGCAAGAAGTCCCAGTGGTTTGCCTTGTTCCTCTTCGTGGTTGTATGGAGAAAGCTTACATAGAACCCAACGTTTTGGTGCTACTCTCGCTGTGTTGTCCAGCTGGCAACCACCGTATGCTACCACAGCGTGCTGCAAGAGATGTTAGCGTACGCCGGAAGGGCGCTTGAGCTTCTGGTTCAGGGCGTGCAGAGCCAAGAGGAGATAGCCCCAGACATGTCCCTGGCGCTTTTCTTGCAGCTCTGCTCTCGCCAAGAAGGTGATCCCAAGCTCAAAAGAAGCCATCCTGCCATTGAACGTATTTACCTTGTTCGAAAAGTGTGTTCAGGGCACCCTTGCTTGCTACCAGGATGACCACGGTAAGCAACATCCCACAATAACCATTCCGACACAAAACCCCGTACCACGTTCCTGTCATGGTATTCCATGTCCTTCCGCCTCTGTGATATCTGCCTACGCGATTCGGCCAACCGAACCTTACCCTTGCCGGTGATACCCGTTGCCAAAGGTCGAGATGGTATCGAGGCAACAGACGGAATGGCGATGCTACGGCCCCTCATATCCGGCGCCCAGGCCCAAAACAGCCCGGTATTCTTGCGCGGGCTCGCTTGCGCCGTAGCTATCGCCCGGCAGGGGGCCCCGGGGTCCGCGCCCGGCTCCACCGGCGAAGGCGCGACGCCATCGGCCACCGCGCCCCCGGGACTGTCGCTTCCAAAAGCCGGCGGTGTCGGTCGCTCGGGCCCCCCGAAGCCGCACCCTCTCGACTTCGAGGGCAAGCTGTACGACGACCTCGTGGGCATCCTTGACGCGCCCCCGCCAGCGCCTCTGAACGCGGTCCGCGGGCTGGTGCGCATGGGTTCCCTGGAGGCGGTGATGCGGTTTCTCGTGCGAGAAGACGACGGAGAAGAATACGGCACTGATGATGACGAGAGCGTCTCCCTGTCGGGCGGGGGCGGGACAGGTAGAACCAGGAGGAAGCCCGACGGCCGCTCGAGTGGCCCCCACTACTTCAGGCTGAAGCAGCGGCACGCTTGCCTCGGGGCGGTGGCCTTGCACGGCCTCGCGGTGCTCGCCGGTCCGCACCCGGCCATCATGACAGGCCCTACGCTGCGCTACCTCTGTTACTCGATCCAGATTGCCTACATTGACCTCACCGTGGGGACGCTAGCCCCCGGGGTGGACTACCCGCTCATGTTCCGAAGCATCCAGCTCGCTTGCCGCGCCTTGGCGTTTCTGGCGACGAGTGGTGCGACGGGAGCCCCGCCTTTAGGAGATGGTCAACGGGAGAATGTTACGGTGGACGTCGGCCGTGGACAGGCGGAGGATGCCCAAGACAGCAGTAGTGTTATCGTGGACCATGGACCTCTACGGCGCGTAGCGGACAGCCTGCTTTCGACGACAGCCATCAATGAGGTCGCTTGCTTGGCGCAGATGCCGTCGCGGGCGGCTTGGGCTGGAGATGAGGGACACATGTATCGACACCTGGAGCGCACCGTGAGCTCTGCGGCGATTCTTGTCGCAGGCGTTTGCCCTGTGCCTGCCGGGGAGCGAGATCCGTTCACAAGGTCGGCACGGATAAATGGTGCTTTCATGTCGACATTGATTGCAGGGCAACTGCTTGCTGGAGCGCGCAGAAGCATGAATCCGAAGAAAGAGTTAGTTTTTTGTGGTGGGGAGCGCATGTACGGTGTTGCTTGTGGTTTGTGGCTAACCGTCGCCAACCCGAAAAGCGCTCGTACTATTCCAGTCTAAACACGTACCATACACATGAGCTATGAGGTACCAAAAATTCTCCCCCGATCCACGAACGGTAGTGAGTTCCATCGGGAGGAATCATTCCGGAAAGTGAAATACTGAGTTTGCACGACATCGATATCACAACGCAAAAAGGGCTTCGTCGCTCTTTGTTTCCACGACCATCGGACCCGCAGGTTTGACGAGCCAGAAGACGAGTCTTTGAGCCTTCAGCTCTGTCAGCCTCTCATGGAGCGTTTGGTCACTACCGTGGGAGGGTCGTTGTGCTCGACGCTGATGGTGGCCGAAAGTCTGGAGATCATCGCCCATGCCTGCCGCGCGCTGGCCAAGCTTTCGGACGCCAACACGACGGTACAGGTGCGTGGAAATTTTGCAGTGGGCGTCGCAAGAGTCGAGCTGTTGAAAAACGCATGCGTGTCACATCGGGAGACGACGCACCGATAGCACATCCTTGGTGACTCCTGGTTCCAGTCCCTGCAGAAAATAGCAAACAACGATATATGCCCATTTGCCTTACCGTATGTCTCCGATTGACCGCCGATATCACATCCCTCCCTCCCTCCTTTCGGCGTTTTTGTCTTCTACACACAACGGCTGTATTTGTTTCTGCCTGCGTTTGGCGAAAGATGCTCCTCGACACCCATGACGTCATGAAAGCAGTAATTCGCCTTGGCCCGAGGGCCCCAGCCGTCCTGCCGGTGGCTGCCCATTCCGAGCGAGAGGAGGCCCGGCGAGGCGGAAGCTTTTCGCCGAGTAGGTCGGCTCGTTCGAATCACGGGGAAGGGAGGCTGCTACCAGCAAGCCCAGAACCTCCGAAATCTACGATAAACCCTGGTGGTGAACAGGCACAGACAACGGCGACAGAAACAAGAGAATCTAGCGTGGCCAGCGAGGGAGGGGAAAACAAACCACGACGAAGAGGAGATCGTGTGGGGCGGAAGGGCTTCGGGGGTTGCAGCGATGGGCACTCTGCTCCCCAGCCCCCATGCAGCGGGTACGGTGTTCGCGAAGGAGAGATGGCAGATGCATCAACACGGAAGCTTTGCTCTCTTCCTTTCGACTACTTCCGTCTAGTCGCGAACATCGCGCGGGTGCCCTCTGGTCGCGCGGTCGTCCAGAGCAGTGGCACTCTCAAGCGCTGCCTCGAGAGGCTGGCTCTCGACGTATCGGGCTGTCCGGCGGCTAGACTGGCAACGCTGCGTTGCCGAAGCGAAATTTGCGTCCTCATCGGTCGCATGGCTGGCACGTACGACCGTAAAACTGGCGCCGCGAACGAATTCATACTACACCCTCGGTACCAAACTCTGACGGTGCTGCTCGGGATGCTGGCCACCCCTGCTGAGCACCGCAGGCTGTTCGGAGCGACCAGGGTGCACATCGAGTTGGCAAGACATAACGCAGCGTATGCTCTCGGCGCGATCTGCACGGACACAGTCAGATCGGTTCCCATGGTAGCAGATGCGGGAGGTATACATCTTGCGTGCAGTGTTGCCAACGACGTTAACTCGCCGATGCCGCTGCTCAAGCAGGTATGTTTCTTGTTTTATTCGAATAGCCGCGCGTATTCATTCACTGTTTCGTCTCTGATATCCCGCCTACGTTACATTTAGCCTGACTTAGACGGGTGGCTTGTTGTGTCTTTGAAGTGTGATTCCTTGAAACCTAAGTACGTGAGACACTCCGAGTACTCCACGTAAACCATTTTGACGAGATGGTATGTTCTTGTGTGTGTTCTGATGGCACGCTACTGTCCCGGCTTCGAGCGAAACAGCACCGAGTAGGGCGAATCGTCGTACCGCTTACTGTTCGTTCACTGAGCACAAGTCCCATTGTTGACAGTGACAGACATCAACCTGTTCCTCTCTTCGTGTCGAATTGAGCACGATCTCCACAATCCGTCCATAATTCAATACAAACAATTGCCAAAGGTCCTGAGAATACTCCACGGTGCTGGGTCATTCCCGGACGGAGTCTACGCCTCTCTTATTGCGGAACCTCCGGTGCTTCGTTCGTTGAATCGAATCGCGAACAACGCTTACCCGGGCTTCCGACCGGAAACGACGAGCGGCCGGGATTCTCGCCCAACCTCATCGGCCTCGGCAAGAAAAGGAGCACAAACTGCGCCGGCGATGAAACCAAGAGGGGACGGTGCAGGTGGAAAGGTGGATGCCCGGGAACGCATGCCGGTTAATTCAATGCCAAGCTTCCTCAAGCCCCGCAGCGCCGAGTCTCGACTGATCTCAGATTTAGCGACAGAGGTTGCCTACCTTGTTGGGGCCCGCGCTAACAAGTGCGGCTCACCCAGGATCCCCGCATCTCCACCCGGACCGGAAGAATCGGCAATGGCAGGTCAACACCAAAAAGCACGGTTCTTGGCCCCCAAAGACACCGCCGAAGCCACAGAAGCAAGGCTCGAAACGGGTCAAAAACGCGTAGAGGCCGAAGGCAATCATCTTTCTCTCACGAATCCCGCCGCAGCCGTGGAATCCGGAGGTGGACATGCACGCATTGGGAAGACATCACATAGTTTGTCAACGTCGACCACTCCTGCAGATAAGGCGGTTTCAGGGAAACCCGGAACGTACTCGGGGTGTGGGGTGACCAGCTGTAAAGGGTTAGGATTTACCGGTGAGCACGGTGACATCGCTGGAAACACACCGCACGCCGCCTTTGTAGTTCGAAACGACGACCGCGGGAAGCGTGGCGGCGAAAGCGAAGCTTACGGTACCGCCAAGAAACAAACACCAGTTGTACACCTTGGTAGCGACAACGCTGGCGCGCAAGTACACAACAGTAGTCGCGGTTCGATTGCTGAAGCGGAGCCTGGGGCGGAGTCGATTGCTGAGGAGGAGTCGATTGCTGAGGCGGAGTCGATTGCTGAGTCTCCCGGTGTTGTCACGGCGACACCGCTGGCTTTGCTGAGTGCGAGGGAAGCAAGCTTCCGGGACGAGCTCATCCACAGAAAAGAACACTACAGTCTGGGTGGAACGAGGAAGAAAGGAGTCGGCCAAGGCAAGGAGGAGGGGGGGGGATCACTACAGGCCCTAGCAACTGTCGAGAGGCCCGGCGGGATGCCTGAGGCCGGGAAGAGAGGGCGCTCGATCGAAGCGTCTCGACGATCCCAGTCTAGCAATAGAAAGTTGAGAGGGAGATCGCCCGCCCCTGTTGATATCGTACAGAGCCCGCTCATCGCGAGCACCCGACCAACGGGCTTTCCCCCCGGATCGGAATGCCGACCGGGTCCCGAGAGAGATAAGGCTGACCGTGGATGCCGACATGGGGTGGATAGACAGGAGCCGGTAAAAACTGCCTTGAGTTTCGGAACCAAATGTGCTCCTGGAGGGAAAGAATTCGTCACGTTTGCACGACCGGCCGCACACTGGTCGGTGACGAACAGCTTGAGTGCTAGCCCCGGTCGAACTCGGAGCAAGGGGGTTCGTATCCCCAATTCAACCGAAGCGGGTGGCGTGGGTGTGGTTGGAAGGTTTGCGTCCCGAGGGTACCTCCTTGATCCAACTTTTCAGGACCACAACCCCGTTATCCTGCACCCGCGTCTACCACTAATCGGCGGGGGGGCCGGGCGGGGGTTCAGCCAAGTACCGGACGGTTCGACCTTAGCCGAACTTGTCACGTCGCCTGCGGCCAAGGGTGGTGCGAAGGGGACCGAGCCGTACCGGAACAGTGTCGAGGTTTTGCGTCACAGGGTGGGCGTATCGGGTGAAAGGAAGGCGGGCAAGCAAAGCTGCTTTGACGAGAAAGGCCTGCCGTTGTCGCCAGGAAAACTGCAGCAGGCGTAAGGTGTAAAGCATAGGTGAACAAAATCGCGCGGGGGGGGGGGTTCTCAACATGCCGGTCTGGTTCCTTCCGAGTGTGTGTACGGTGACAGGCTACCGTGGTTGTTACGCCTGCGGGTACCTCGTACGAGGCAAATCAATCCTCCACGAATAGAAGACCGAGCATCAAGCAAGGATTGCAACAGGCTCCACCCAGAACACAGCTGTGTCGATCTGCGGTCCTTTGTCATGTAGCAGGTACGTAAAGTATATTGTAACGTTGACTTTAGCTGCCGGACCTCCTTTAACAAGACACCACATCTTCCTGGACAAAACACCCCCTTTCTGCTTAGTACCGTATACATGACACAAGAAAACATACACCCGGTGATGATACTTTGGTTCAAAAACATTAATCACTGGTTGTGCTACTGTGTGGGGTATGTGATATCTTTCGTCGCCCTATTCCTTTGATCAGAGAGTATTTTAACGTTTTGGACTCATGTTGACCCCTAAAAAATTACCACTGGGTGTTGTGTTATTGTGTGTGGATAGGCTACCTCGATACCCCACTCTAAAATAAACGAAATTCTGCCACAGAATCATCCCTGAGAACACAGACGCCCAACAGCAGCTACCATCAATTTTGGTAACCAGTGCGTCCCGTATCAGGCGTTGATTTTATAAGCCCACCGCGGTCGCGTTCCGCAATCACGGACTCAAGGAAACTTCGGCACACGAGCGCACACTGATTCCCATCCCGGCCATGTCGTCCAAGAACTTCGAAGCCTCACTCTGAAAACGACGTCGAGCAACACCAGAGAGGGCGGGATGAGCTTGAAACGGTAACCGCACAGTAGTACGGGGTTATGGAGTGAGATATTTCAGGGCTGCAGGCGCCCCGCCGTTTGGCAGATACCGTCAATCATTCACGTGTTCGGTAACACTAAGAGTAATAACCAAGTTTTCACCAAAGAAGGAAGCGCGTGGAATCTTCACAGACAGCAGTGACACCAGCAAGTGTACTATGTTGACCGCCAAGGACAGACGTTACCTTACGATACTATCAACGAAGAACGACGGCAACAACGCGGCAACGTCGTCAGGCAAGGAGAGGGTCCGCCTACCTCGAATCCAGTGACGGGCGACATGCCGTCCTTGAGTAGTACCAGGCTTCCCATCCGACGCCGAGCAACGTCCTCGTTCAGACCCCCCGCGGTCGTTCGCTTCCACGCCGCCGCCAAGTCTCGGGCGGAAAAGTTCACGCAGTGGGAAGACGCTTGTCCGCAGACCACCACGACGTCTCGTGCGCACAGCTTGGCGAGCAGGATCCGACCCTTTTCGTTCGCTTCATCGCCTGCCACGGGCACCTCCGCGGCGAAGCAACTGGTGGTGGTTATACCGTACGGGAAGACAAAGGAACAGCATAGAAAGTGGAAAAGAGGTCGGGTGGTGTGGGACCTCGGCTATTGATGGTCGCCGTTATGCCAGAAACTGAATGAGAGAGAGAGACGGGGTGGAGTAGGCAGAGCCTACCGAGCGGTGCGCAAGAATTCATGCCACGGGTAGAAATGTTAGGGCTTCGGGACGCTACAAACCAGGTGTGGCATGTTATAGGCATGGTATCTTATTCAACCTACTTTCGTGTTTCTGGCGCAACTTGAACAGTAGTTATCCCGTGCAATAGTCTATAAGCGTATGTTGAATCCGACAGAACTGCTGCGGTGTACTGAATACTTGGCAGCCCAACGCCAGGAAGAGAAACGTTGTTACCAGAAGCTTTGAGCGTTTCTAAACCTAGTGCAGGGACAAAACCCTGGACGAACGATCAGATCCCTAACCCTAAGTAGCACTACACCTGTAGTGCTCAGTGAGCGGGTGCTGTCCCTTGTGAACGTACGTCACGCTCCTCTTTTTGGCCACAGCCCACTCCTGGATTGCTGTATTGGTGCCACGGGTTCGTTTGTTCGGTGTCATTCCGTCCGGAGGCGCAACCCGGTTTGAAACCACAGGCCGATTTGATTCCACCGTCATGTCAGAAGCCGGCCGTGGGAGAAGACCAGTTCAGTAAGTCGTTTCTTCTAGAACATACGCTTTGAACCTCGGCTTCAGAATGGGGACTCCCATACCAAGCGTATCGTCTTGAAGCGGTGACTTCAGCGGAGGTATCACCTACATGGTGTTCTACTCGCCGCACATGTCATACAAACGTTGCGTTCGCAAGAAGTGGGTTCTGATCGGTTGGCTGGGACACAGCAGTATTAAGCTTGAAAGAGCCGGCAAACATGGTTGCGTCCTCTTCATGTGCCACATTATCCACACTCGAAACAGCAACAAAAGCGGCCCAGCATGCTACAGAACGCACGTACGGAGATGATCTCTCTCACCTTTGTTTATAACAGGATTGACGGCATGTCCTGGAGTTCCAATCTGAGTTCGAATGGGACGGTGGTGGAAGGAGAACCGAAAGAAGAACAAGACGGTCAATGTAATACGACCGCTCCTTTTTCTTTCATGCTCGGAGGGTCCCCGCCGATGAGTGTTTCAAAGATCGCAACAAGGAACGTCTTGATAGTGTCGAAAACTCCGGAATACAACCCGTCCCGGGGGTCTCAAAATGGCCCCCAAGTCTTGGGGGAGAAATAACAGGCAACGAGGCACGAGCGTGCGCACCGCAGACTCCCAGTCTACTTGAGATGCGTGTATATCGTTATCATCCAATGTCGAAACATGCGGAAGTAAGGCACGCAACCTCTTTCCGCTGTCGTTCTGTAGTCATACATACTCACCAGACAGTGCTCGGGCCAGACACACAGCGTGAACTTTCCCCCCTCCTCAAGCTTCCTCGTGTACTCGATGCAGTGTTCCTGTCAAGTACAACAACAGCAGGTGTTGCTTCACGCGGACACGCGTTCAATCTGATGAAACATCAGCGGGGGAATTTGTGCTAAGCACTTATTATAGAGACTATTTACTTTACATGTGTGATCTTCCTCTTGTGCGACCCCGACTGATACGTCAGGTATATACGCCGAAAGGTCTGTAAACCGGTGCCAGAATAGAGGGGAAGAACACACACACTATGCACCTCAGTTGTCGAGAACTGACGAGCTGATGTCGGAGGAACATTTGGTGCATGAACGTCAATCACGGAATTCTCATCAAAAAATGCAACAAAATGACCGGGACCATCTTTGTAACGCCTGCACTCTACAATAATGTTGTAAAATAGGAGCCACGCTGGTATTCTCGCGCTAACCCGTACTCTCTGGGTATTATGTACGGCGTACGGATCAATTTGCCAAATTCTACGAAAATACATTTTTGGGCTCGCCTTGTGCTCCTCCTCAACGGGCAACCATGTCCCATTTTGGATGTCTTCCGACTTGATCAAGGTGAAGGGAGCCGGGTATGACCCGCCGCCCCTACCGTCCGTCCAGAACATCGGATGGGCGATATCCATACGCTGTGACAAACAAAACGGAGCGCGGAACAGCAGTGTAGATGAAAGCCAAGACAAGGGTTCAATTGGATGATCCCAAAGCTGCCGTGGAGTCGTATCTACTCGCACGGCTATTAAAGCCGCAGGTTTTTCGATTGCGCGCGAGAGCGGGTGCTTGCTGTGGGCCTGAGCATCTTCAACTACTGCACATGAACTACTACTGAACATACGCGGGATCTTTCGAGGGAACAAGTGGCTCTAGCATCGTGGCCCTTGATAGGTAGGGACATTTGCATGGCTTCAAACGCATGAAACTAGAGGTAGAGACAGCAGCGAGGCTCCGTTCCGCACAGCAAACTTTCGCTGGGCTAACCGTGCACAATGAATGATCTTGATCCGTGAGGATCACCATCGAGAATCGAGACCTCTTCAACGTCCCGCTCACATGATGGGAGTCCAATGTCACGACAATCTCGTCGATGTGCTCGGACTGATCCGTGACTAGTTGCGCGATGCGCTCCGCGTCGTCGCTTGCGCCTTGTATGGCTAGCGCACCTCCCTCGTGGAAGTCCGCCTGAGGGTCCACGATCAACAGCGCAGTCCCTCCGAGGCCCGATTCAGCTTCCAGCACCGCCGACAAATTTGAAAGCCTCCGCATGTTGTAGTCTTCCATTTTTTGTTGTGTAAGTGTACGTTAGCTTCTCCTGTCAGTCCAGCAAGAGAGTGCACATTTGCACACGGCAGTAGTTACGGTCGTAGAACGTGGTAGTAACCTGTGTGTCGGGTGAGGGATAGACTGTTGCCGTGTGATGATAGACAGAGCCTAGACAGCAGACCTGTTGTAACTTGCCTGTTGTGTTCAGGGGCTCCGTGAGATCCTGTCCCTTTTTAAGCACATACCCACCATTGCTTCCCGCGCCGTCCCCAAGCAAGTGTGCTCGGTTGTGTCAACCACAACCCGAAGCCACAAAACCAACCCCTCGGCAGGACAAAACGCACACTCGGGAGGGGGAGAAGGCTTGGAAGCCCTGACACTCGGTTTCGTGTGGAGAGCGGGGAGAGATGGCGCATGGCGGAGGCCGAGGCAGGGGCATGACCCTGCCGGCATGGATGACGAAGGAGGGCGGGGAGCAGCCGGTGGTGGCCCAAGCACCTCCGCTGCCTCCTGGTGGGCTCAACGGTGAGCGAGAGACCTGCTAATGCTAAACACGGGTGCTTTCACGGCATCGGGAAACACGGACTTGCATTCTGCGGCCGTCGTGAAACTTGCTTTGATCTTCACGGACAACGTTTTTGTTCACGGCTGTTGCGAGCGTTGCCTCCAGGCGTCCCCTTGTATCCTGCCGCCGCCTTTCGGGACTGCTGTGCTGTGATCCCGTCTTATGGATCCTTATCCTTCGTCAGCGTTCGTAGTGGGGCGGTGTTGACTACTGCTGTGTCTAGCAAGAGCTTGGCTTGTCTTGTGCGTGTTGCGGTTAGGTTCGCATTGTGGCTGGTTGTCTCTTGTCTTGCTTCTAGTGTGGGGCGAGTTTTTCAAAGAGTAGATGCACAATTTTAGAACAGAGCGCGGGCGGGACAACGTTTCAAAAATCGTGCATACGAAAACGCTGCCATCGCGCAGCGGAGACAACGCCATTCGTCGACATGTCCACCGACGGCCTTGCTTTTGCATCACGACTCCTCGCCATCGTCCCTGCTTGAACATGCAACAAGATGGCGAGCTCATCCCCTCTACCGTTTTCCGCTGCCTCGTTGTGTGTTACTACGATATCTATGTCCGACTCTTTTCCTCGCTTTTCCACCGCCGCGGCGTTACCGCAGGCAACGGGAACGGCTACCCCATGGCCCCGGCACAGGGTCAGTTCGCCGACCCCCCGCTGCTGCCACAGCAGCCGCCGCAGCCGATGTATGCGGCAGTGCCGCCGCAGCAGGCCCCGCCGCCGGTGCCCATGCAGCCCCCTCCCCCAGAGCAGCGCGAGAGGGACGGGAGGGACAGTCGGCGGAGAAGGTCGCCTTCCCCTCGACGAGACCACCGAGACAGCAGGTGGGTACATTTAGCATGTGTCTTGGGCACCAAGTCATCGATTGGTGTGAGCGGTCGTTGCCTGCAGTGCCACCCGATTTGCGTGATCGAAACAAATTCTGAGTTTGGATGGGTGTACTGCAAGACATGGGGCAGTAAGAGGGACCGTGTATGAAAGGCGGGACCGTGTTTTCAAGGAGGGACCGTGTTCACAAGGAGGGACCGTGTTTACAAGGAGGGACCGTGTTTACTAGGAGGGACCGTGTTTACTAGGAGGGACCGTGTTTACTAGTAGGGACCGTGTTCACAAGGAGGGGCCGTGTTTACAAGGAGGGACCGTGTATACAAGGAGGGACCGTGTTAACAAGGAGGGATCGTGTTCACAAGGAGGGGCTGTGTTTATGTTTGGGTGCTCACGGCGCATTGGTGAGGGTCTACAGCAGTAGCTGTCGCTTTGAAGTTGTGTCAAGAGATGGGCCTTTCTTCCACTGTTGTTCGTTGCGATACCATCATGCCATGCCTGGAGCTTCACGCAACGGGAGGTGTCGGTGTTCTGATTTTTTGGGATAGTTTGGAGGTTGCGGCAGTTGCAAAGCGGACAGTTTTTGTCGTTCGGAGCTCGTTGAGCATGCGCAGCACGAAGCGAGCCTGAGGCCATCCATGTCTGTTGCGCGGGAAGTTCGTGTCCAGTGGTGGCTGGCGTGCTTCTGTTGGTGCAGTTTGATCGCATTGAGCTGGATTGCGACACCTGTGTATGTTTGGTGATGCAGCTGTCTCCTGGTCTACAGCAGCACGCGTGCACGACGGTCGCGTCAGAGTCGGTGCGAGTACGAGGCAGGGGAGCTTACCCACCGTCTGCCTTGCGCACGCGTCTCATCCTATGCTTTGTCGGTGCCCATCTCGGATGCCCATTCGTGTCTAGGAACGACTCGAAATCTCACCCCTTTGCTGAAAGCCGTGCGCAGACCTCACGCCCGTGTGTACGTTCGTACACCTTTCATCCCACGCCCACGTACGGATCCGATCCCACCCGATTTTGTTCCTCTCCCTTTGGGTACAACAGGCGTAGGGGCGGCAGCCGCAGCCCTCCCAGAGGGGGCGGCGGAGGCGGCTACGGGCGTAGCGGGGGCTACGGCGGTGACCGTGACCGAGGCGGTGGCTACGGGCGCGGAGGGCGCGGCGGAGGAGGAGGGATCGGCGGCGGCGGGGGCGGGGGGCGGTTCGAGAACCCTCGCAACGAGGCGCTTAACGACCGGGACCGGATCGAGCGGCGGCGCAAGCGGAGGGCGTTACGGCCCTCCAACTTCGACGTGAAGCCGGACGACCCAACGGCGGTGGCATTGCTGGAGGCCAGCGCGCAGCAGATGCTGGTGTCGAGGGGAAGCGGCGTAATGCAGTCGGCGGCACCGCAGGTGTGTCGCGATGAGGCATTGCGCTTCTGTGTTTTTTTTGTGGTGGTGTGCAGAGCTTGCGCTACCTATATAGCGAGGCGCGCTGTTGTTGATACTGTAGATGTTTGTTTTCGGGTCGTGTAGATGAGGGAGGTGCATTTTGTTGGTTGCGGCTTTACGCTACAGCAGTAAGAGCGAGGATGGTCTTCTGACGTGGAAGTATTATACGTGGACTTGTCTCGTCGGCTTCAAAGTTGTGGTGGGAATAAGAAGAAGATCTGGCGTTTCTCGAAAATAATCGGGTTTGAATCCCTCGAGTGTTCCTTAGGTGTAAGAACTATGCTGGACAACCTTCGCCTATTCCATGTGCTATGATATCAAGATGCTTGACGGCTGTCTGGCAAGCATTGCTTTCTACTTCTAGCTTAGAGCGCTTGTGCAATCGTCCCCTAACGTGGTGTATGTATCCGGTGCACGTTGATGGCATATCGAATCGATGTACATAGATAACCGGCGAGTTTGGGGGGATCTTGTCAGCGATGTTGCGCCTGTCGGCATACATGCATAAGCGTTGATTGCTGCTACAATATCGGGTTCGCTTTTTCAAAGGCCGGGCTACTGGCACAGCTCGTGCACGGAGGATTCGTTTTGGTTAGGCTGAGACCTTTTTCTCCCTCTTTGATATTCATAGACCGCTATCTCTTTTAACGGGACTCGAGTGGGATATGAATGCCAGATCGGGTGCAGCTCCAACGCACGCCTCATTTGTACCTACCGAGCAGGTGTGGTGTTGCGTTTGACCATGAAACACGCGTCTCCCTCACGGTTCTTCAGAATGTCGTCGAATCATCCCCCGGCTCCTACCACCTGTTATTTTGCGTGCAACATCGCGCTTTTGGGAGAGTTGGCGCCGTATCGTTGACCTCCGTAGGGCCCCCTCCCCCCCCCCTCTCTTGCTTCCATTTTGCCCCATACTACCGCGTCCGTCAACAAATGGTTCCACGGGCGGCGCAGCTGATGGCACGGCTACCGGGGGCAAGCAACCAGCAGACCCGGCACGCCCGGCGGCTGTACATCGGCGGGTGCCCCAAGACGACGGAGGAGGAAATGTCCAGCTTCTTCAACGAGGTCATCAACCGCGCCCTCGAGTACCCGATCGATGGGGGTGCCGTGGCTTCCGTCTACGTGTCTCAGGAGAAGGTGGGGGTAGACAATGGGGAGGCATCTTGAGGTGATCTGACGGCTTTGGAATTGATTAGCACGGGGCGATGTTGGACGTGAGGCGCTCTTGTTGAATGTGAAGGGGTTTTGAGGATGGGGGTGCCGTGAGGGGAGAGATCTCGAAGGGGGCGGGGGGCGGTGGTTGGAGGACATTGGTCGAGCCAGATCATATGAAACGGAGAAACACCAACACGGTAGCAGCACGCGCAAAGATTCCGTATCGATGATTCTGCTACTACTGCAGGCCGGCGAAATTCGGCAATCGATCAACTTAACTTGCCGCTGTCCCCCTGGCACGACGGTGCCACTAAAGGCTGTAAAGTAGTGTGGTGTTCTCATGGTCGCGTTTGGAAGTTTTCAATATTTTGTTGCCTACCTGACACTCTCTGCCCGGTCACCTGTTGCCTCAAGTGAAACGTTCGCAATCCGATGGTCCGGCCAGGCGTTTGCCTTCCTAGAGCTCAAGACGATGGAGCTGGCGACGTCTGTGCTGGAGCTGGACGGGATCGTGTACAAGGAGACGCAGCTCAAGATGCGCCGCCCCAGCGACTACAACCCACAGCTTGTCCCCGCGGCGTGAGTTTTTTGTTTCTGGCTCCTGTATGCATTTGCTTACATACGGCGTGAGTTTCGTTGTCTACTCCTATACATTTGCTTACATACGGCGTGAGTTTTGCTGTCTGCTCCTATGCATACGCACGGTGCAGCTTCCCCTGACACCTTGACGCTATGAGCCTCAACCACCGCCCGATTGTCTAGAATACTCCTATTTAATAGTACTTGTGTGTCATAGGAAAACTACAAATAGTGTTGAGGATTACTACTATGGTGACTTAGGTTTGCCGTTAGCGTGGCGTGTTGACGATGCGGAGTGTTTCCAAGAGCGGTAGCGCAGAGCCGGCTCAGAGTGGGTTGGTGTGAACGTCTTCGATCGAGGACCTTGGGAAACCAGCGCTTGAGTGTGGAGTCAAGGAAGCTTCGTAGGACAGTTGTTGTACTGCCCACTTGCTGCGGTGCAATGCAATTCCCTGTGAGAGTGAAAGACAACGACGCGAATGCAGAGAAGCAAGGCAAGACATGATCCTGTTTCGTTGTAGGACGTGGTCGCTGTCAGGTTCTTCTCTCTCGGTCCCAGTTCATGGTGTTTTATCTCCCGGTCCCACTTCAACTCCGTTGGGTGTTTTGGGTTCGTTTGTGTCTCCCTCACATGCCATTTGGTGTTCTTGCTCATGTTATGCGCGATCGATCGACATTGCTCTTAGCAAGGCGTTATGCATGTTGGTGTCGATATTGCTTGTTTGTGTGCTCCAGGTCTGGGCCGATCCCCAAGCTCAACCTTTCGGTCCTGGGTATCATCTCCAGCACTGTCCCCGACAGCGACAACAAGGTGTTCATCGGGGGACTCCCTTACAACCTCACGGAAGACCAGGTGCGTGGTGGTTGAGTTCTTGTCAAACTTTATTTTTGTGGGGATTCATCCACCCGGCAAAATGTTATCCCTTCCATGAGGAGGGACGTGTTAAATCTATCTTTTTTTGGCAGCCTGGTGGGCGTCGGTTGCTGTTGATACCAGAGGTGTGGGTTATGTTGCGAAATGACGCAAGTCGTTTGCCGTCATCTCGTGGTAGATTTGGCATACGTCTTCTGCCGTACTGAAGATGTCGTATTGAGATCGCCTTGGTACTGCTGCTAAACTATCCACGCCCTCTACTAACTGCAACATATGCAGATCTGTTTTGTTGCTTCCCCAAGACCAACCCATGCCTACCCCTCGAAAACCAGCCCGTATGAATAAATATTTCTCTTTTTGCAGATGTTCTTGTAATGCTGCTGTACCGACTGTTGCCCAGGCCGGCATGAGCATCTCTCGGACCCCCCCCTCCCCCCCTGTCCCACTCTCAGGTGCGCGAGTTGCTGAGTGCGTTCGGGCCTCTCAAGTCTTTCCACCTCGTCAGGGACCCTGGCTCGCCCACGTCGAAGGGCTACGGTTTCTGCGAGTATCTGAATGCGGGGGTGACCGCCATCGCCTGCGAGGGTCTCCATGGAATGACGCTCGGTGACAAGACGCTCACGGTCCGTCCGGCCACCGATAGAGGGTGAGATTGACGTGCAGAGAGAGAGACAGGAGGGGAGAGAGAGAGAGAGAGATAGAGAGAGAGAGAGAGAAAGAGAACCAGAGGAAGAGGCGTATTGTTGGGGTCATGCGCGGTTGTTGCACTCTTTGGCGAGTGCAGTTTGTGACACCTTGCACTGCTGTTTGCGTACCACCCGCGTCCCATACCATACCATGTCATACACGGGGGCTGGGCTCCTCCTCCTATGCATACCTCAATTAGCGTTCCGGCTTGCAGCGTTCTTGTCGGGTTGGTCGGAACCATTAACTCTTGGAGCGCTCATGTCTTGTCTTGTCTCGTCTCGTCGTCACCACTTAGTACAGTACCTCCGTTGTATTGTCCGTGGTCTATATGCATTTTCGCTGGGCCATGTCCGTGCGAGACAATCGTGATGGTGAGAACTCGCTGGTGCCGCCTCGTTTCGTGCTCGAATGTTCTTTGTTGCACCAGTTCGTCTGGCGGACAACAGCAGCAGCAGCAGCAGCAGCAGCAGCAGCAGCACTACCAACAACAAGCCATGCCCGGTATGCAGATGGGCGGAGGACAACAGATGGGGCTCACGGCTCCGCCGACTCAGCAAGAACAAATGCAGCTGGCACAGGTGTGGATAAAGAAATTACGGCGAGCACAGCTGCAGGAAAGGCGGGGCGACGATGCTTCCAGTTTGGTGACAGGCTGAAACACAACTTTATCCATGTATTTCCTTCATTTTCTCGATCTAACAAGAACCGTTCGGTGACGAAAATGTTCTTGAGCGAAACATGTGCTGTCATTTCTCAAGCTATTGTAACCGTTCGGAAACGCGTGCTCTGGATTTGTTTGTTGGGTGGGCTATCTGCAGGCTATGGCCGCTCTGGACCCCAACGCCTCGCAGGCCGCTATGGCCTCGTTGGCACAGGGCGGCGCTGGCGCCGTTCCCTCTGCCGCGGCGGAGTCTGCGGTCGCCGCCAACTTGATCCGCGCCATCCCGCCAACCCGAGTGTTGGTGATGCTCAACATGGTGACCGAGGCAGAGCTGAGGGACCCTCAAGAGTACGAGGTGGGTGGGACTAAAGTATTGCACTATACGCCGGGTACGCCTTCAGAAGTTGTTTTCTGAGTTGTTGATGCCGCCCCTTTTACTCCCGAAAGAATGAGGCTATTGAAGCGTTTGTAGTGTGAAACACACTCCGAGTACTCGTTTCCGTTTTCGAGGTAAGAGGTAGTCTCGTAGCAGCACCAGCACCAGCAGCGTGCTTGTGTTTCGTGCTTGTCACAGCAGTTTTTGTTTTTCTGAAACAACCCTGTTGACATCATTGTCATGTGTTGTGTGGAGGACACAACACGCCGTTTTCGAGACGAGCTCCCTCCGGCTTGGTCGATGCTCTTTGCGTTGCATCGGTTGTATGATCGTACTGAATCACTATTTAACCTTACTGAAATCACTCGTTAACATCCGAAACGGCGAGCCCTGAAAAAATGTCTTATTTTGTTTCATTATCACGGCCTCTTGCTGATGGTGATGAGACTGGCCGTTGTTGGAATAGGGGTATGTTTTGATGATTCTACGACCATCTTTTGGATCGGAATGTACTTTGGTGTGCACGTTCATGTGCAGTTTATCGACATGGTCTTGACTGCTCTCGGCTTTCGAGAAAAAATTGGTTTGCTCCCTTTCTAGGGTTCTTTGAAATATAAAATACTTAGGCTTACTGCTGCTGTGTCGCGCGTGGCAAGCGAAACGTCGTCGTAGATCACGTGGTGCTATTCTTCCAAGACACCGCTTCATTTGGAGAGCGTCCTCAGACCATTGTGCTGTTGCTGTGCGCTTGTTGCTGTTCCAGGACATCGTGGACGACATCCAGCAGGAGTGCTCATCTCACGGCACCGTGCTGTCGATCATCGTGCCTCGCCCTGGAGAGGCAGACGCCAGCCGTGCCGTAGGTGAGAGAGACTGCCCGTGCTCCTGCTTGGAACACGCCATGCATACATTTCCGACGCAGTTACCTCCCCCCCCCCCCTGGGTGAGGTACTTGCCGAATACCTGACGGCGTTTCGCGCCTGGTGATGTGAGAACCTGGTCCGGTAAAAACCCGGCGTGCTCCGTCCCGGCTTCGTAGGGATGCGAGGTCAATGGTGTCACGACTATGGCATGCGTGTTCATTACTACACTCCCCCCCAACCCCCTGGGCTTACGTACGAAGGGCACGCAACACTCCCCCTACCCGGCGAAAGGTACAGGCGACGATTTCCTTACTACCTCTAGTTGGAGAAAGAGTATCTGTCATGTGCGAGGTTTCGGCAATGGGTACTTGGGGCTAGTATATCCTCCCTGTTGTGAAGTGAGGGATGCGAGTGGTCACGGGCGTACCCGTCGTATCTTACTCGACGCACGCTGAGATGTTACACCCTGTGCTCCATCGGGAGAACATGCGAGTGTGCAGCTCAGAGGCTAGCTACGCAGCCCCATGGTACACGGCATTTGGCTGGTGTGCATGCTGTTGTCTTGCAGTATTTTTTTTTACGGCTGTTGTTGAGGTCAATTTCCGGCCAAGTGTGGTTCGCTTTTCCCTCTGCTCTGTGTGATGCCCACACGGCAGTGGCATACCCGACGGCATATCCAAAAGTCCCGAGAATGATGGTGTGCCAAGATGGCGATGTCAACTAGACCAGTGAAAGGAAACACCAAGCAGAGCAGCACCACCGGCGAAAGACGACTATAATACAGCAACTTTACCCGGGTGGGTGCGACAAACGATCTGAAATATCCAAAACCAACTCCAGCCACGAACACAAAATAAAAATACCAACAATTGCCGTCCGCAAACGCTGCGCTCTCTGAACGATGACAGGCAAAGTGTTTGTCGAGTACGACACCAAGGACAGCGCGCAGAAGGCCGCTCTCTCGCTCGCCGGTAGGCAGTTCGGCGCGAACATCGTCAAGGTGGAATACTTGAACGAGGAGAAATTCGCCCGTAGGGAGTTCGAGTAAAAACACGGAGGATGTATGTCCGCAGGGTAAAGAGATGATGCGGACGACGTTCTCAACCGGCGAACGACTTTGCGCTTGGGTTGAGGTTTAGGTCTTGGGAGGCCTCGGTGCCGAAGACAACGGGTCGAGGACCGTCGCTGCCAATCTCTGTAGCTAGCGTTAACCGGGGTGTACTGTTTTGTGTCGGTTTCGTGTCGTGTTTCGTTTTGTTTTCTTTTCAAGAATCAAGAATCAATCATTGAGTCATGCTCTTTTCTTTTTCAAGGAAGAAGGCCACCCCGTATCCATGCGTGGACCTTTCGCTTGATGTGATTTTAGCGCGGTCTACGGTGACGTTGATCGGCGTCAGGCATGGCTGCTTTGCAAAGGGTGATTATCCCACCTGTTAGGATGTAGACTACACTAAACAAGTGACGATAAATGATGCAACTGGGTGGAAAAGATTGTGGGCGCTACGCCAATGACGATCAGGGCCGATTCGCGTCTACGTAGTTTTGGTTTGGGTTACCGGCCCTCGGCACATGAGCTTTCTGAGTTCGTTTATTCGGCACCATTTTTCGGTGGCTTGTTCTTGTCTCGCCCTCCTGTAGCGTCGGTGGTACAGCCGTAGTCTCAGCAAAATCTGCCCGGCAGGAAATCAAGGAACGAATGAATCCCGATGGGACCAGGGGGGTTTAGTGTGCCAGTTAGTTTCGTTGGAAGTATTTAGCCAGCAGGGGAACAGGGCAGGGGCGTTCATCGACTGACTTACAGTAGCGTTGTATGTTTGCCAGGAGAATTCGCAACTTTTTCGGACGAAAATCTGAAAACTCATACAATAGGGGCAGCGGGATCTACAGGTGGAGCACAATTTTTTAGAAAATATTTTTTTGCGTCGGTCCACGGAAGTCTGTCGGTGGTGTGGGCTTGTTTGCTTGCTTGCTTGCCTTCATCAGTGACGGCCTTCATGATGACTGGAATCAATCCGTTCGCAGAGGATGTACGCCTCAAGTTGGCTACTGCAAGACCTAGAAAGGTGGTGATTGTTTACTGCGTGAAGGGCCAAGTCACTGCCAAGACTCGTGAAACCCCAGCCGGTAGGTTGCTGTGCGCAAGATCAAATAGACCATACCGTAGGTTGCATCAAAAATATTAGATATCATCACACCCTGGACCGATTTTCGAAGCTCGATTTCTCGGCAGGAAAAGTAGTGACGGTGTCGAAAATGGCGGGAGGCGTTGGAACCGTCTCGTCGGGAGCTTTCCGAAAACGCATCCTTTGATTTTGGCATCCTCTTCTTCGCGGAGTAATTGAGCTTTGAAAATGGGTCCAGGGGGTGTGACATCTCATGTCATGTCACCTAACGGTAACTCCCTTGATGCGCGCATCCGGTGCCGGCTGGTCTGACGCCCGTCCGCCCCGCTCTGTTTTAGACTAAAAGCATAGAAGACTGCTGTAAACCTCTTTCCTGCTGCCACTCTTATTCTCTTTCCTGCGTACAGTAGACGTACGAGGAATACGTAGTGCACCTTTTCTTCCTGCATCCGCTCCCCGAGCTTCCCCACACGACAACAGCCATGTTGGGATGTTGGGATGACCTGGACTGAGGTGCTCTTCGCCGAGCTGGCTTTTTTTAGCGGGGAATTCAAACAAATTTGAATTTAAAACTTCTGCACTACCGCCGTACAACAGTATGCGCTATGCACACAAATACACGAGAGAGGAATTAGAGAGTAGATTGGGAACCACGTCCAGTTCAAGGCAGCGAAGACTTTCGTCTACGAAGGAGGTGGCACCAGACTGGACTGGAGAGCATGGCTGGCACGACGCTACATAGATCCATCTGCGTTGACCACCACCACATCACAGGATGGCGGCACTGACTCTTTCTCTCTCTCTGTCTCTTTGCTTGCAGCACCCTTCCACTTGCGGCCTACTGCTTGCTGCGCACTTGACACACCCAAGCACCAGCACACCAACAGCACGAACCAGGAACAGTACCAACAGCAACAGCACCTAACGTGACCGGTCCATTCTGCATTTTGCTGTTTGTGGTTGCGTTTTCGTTTGTTTTGCCTCGGAGGCTCCGTGAAAACGGTACCAATGTGCGAGTGTATCCCACCGCGCAACGAACATAATCATGTTTTTGGCCCCCCCCGTCCTCGGCGCCTTCGGCGCTCCAACAAACCAACCAACACACAGCAGCCCTTCTCCATCACCAACTCCCAACAACAGCCACCACCACGACACAAGAACACGAGCACCAATGTCCGGAGCTCCTATTGCACGTTCTTCCACCCTGGCGGCATCTATTCGCTCGTCAGATTCGTCCTCTCCCCTCAGGTGTGTTGGTATTTGATTGCCTTGATTTGTACAAATACTCGGTATTCATATTCATAGAGGACCGTGCAAAACGAAAAACATGCTATTCATTGCAACGCGGCTGCTCTCTAGGTAGTAAGACCGCGAATTCGTGCACACTTCACGACGGCAAAAGGAGTACTTACATCATGTGCAATGGTGCTCCCCAACCAAGCGCGATGAGTAGCAATGCAACGCCAGCAGCTCAACGCCGACTGGCAACACAACTTTTGGACCGTTCGGCTGTCCGTCGACTTGTCTTGTTGATACTGACTGTACTGTTGAACAGGCCTGTCCACAGGAACAAGGGTAAGACAGGCGGGAACAAGGGGGGCCGCGGCCGGGTCAAGGGCAGCGGTTCCATCTCTCAGTCGCTCAGGTGACGTCGTTGTTGTTGTTGTTGTTGTTGTTGTTGTTGTTGTCGGTGTTGTTGTTGGTTACCACACGAGAGCGCCGCCCTTCTTCAGTAAAGAAGGAGGTATGCATATTTGAACCTCTAAAAAGTGGTAAGTAGTGTGTTTGTTTCGTAGCATGCTCCTGTGGAAAAACCTGCACACCAATCGTGCCAACGACGAGCCCACGGAAAAGTCTACATATGTGATAACAAGGGCGGCCCGCATAAACAAATAGCAGTTGAGACTGCTGACCACACAGAACAGTCTGTACAGTATGCTCTGCAAAGATTATATGGATAATAAAAGGTACACACGGAACCCAACCATGTCACACGTGTCATCGTCTCGACATAGTTGCGAAGAAAGACCTACTTGGTGCACAGGTGAAAACCGCCAATGTAGACCCGAAGCATCATCGCACCGGCTCCCATCACTCCTCTCATCTATCGCTGTACAGCAGCAACGCCTTAGCCAGTACCGACGTCATCAATGAGGGCTCAGCAATGCTACAAATCAGCTGTACCTGAGGAGTGCGAGTCAATCAAGGAGCCGCCCACCATGTCTAGATTAGCTCGTGGTATCTGCGCGATCCGTGCGATCTCTTGACGTTCGATTCACGTATGACATGCGTATCATCAGGTTGTTGACGCCCTCCGAAGGAAAAAAGTAAAAAAATCCCTTTGCACCTGTACGGACATTAGAAGGTACTGAGTCCGGCACGATTTTCAGTGTGAAGACAATATCAACAAAAAACTTGCTCCTAGTCCTCCTGACCTTGTCCAACCTATCTACTGCTGTACGACTTTGTGCTATGTACCTCAGGGCTGGGTTGACGTTCCCGGTTGCTCGTGTGGCAAGGCACCTCAAGGAGGTGGGATACAGTATGCACACGCTGATACAAAGAGCGATGTCGCGAAGTGGCAGATTGTTCGCAGGAATTGGCGAGGAAAGAGCACATCCGTGTTAGAAAGTATATACATACATAATCGCACAGAAAGACCATGTACCCGTTCGAGATAATACAACAGTCGAAAGGATGTGTTGAAGTCTTTACCGTGAGTGGTGGGATGAAGAAACCGGCTGGATACTGGGCTTATTTAGGGTCTGTTTAAGCCTGTACACTGACTTTTATCAGTGATGCCAGCACATCCTTTTAGCGCGAGGAGACGTGCGTCGGGCCGCAGTTAAGTTGGTGCTGCTCCTGTTTTAGGTATAATGTACCGGAGTTGTCTTGTAGGTTATGCGATGGCACTGCGAACAAGAGTTTTGTTGCCGATCCGCCTTTGCATCCTCGTCTTCCCTTCCGCTAAGATTTGACTGTTCCCCGATTTCGATGTCATTGACTATTGCTGTCGGTTGCCTTGTCACAGGCGAAACTCGCAAGCCGTGTCGGAAAGGGAAGCGCTGTCTACCTCGCCGCTATCATGGAGGTGAGGAGTTCCAAGCAGGACCTGAAAGGCTGTTGTCGTTGCAGCTTTAGACATTGTTCTTAATATTGTTCGAGCGGCTTCTTGGCTCACTGGATGACGCTGTTGGTGTTGCGATGGCAAGCAAATGTCTTGTACCAGCTGGGCCGAAACCATTTCTCGGTCGCGCCGAGTCATGCAGAAGGACGACGGCAGTCCTCTCTTTTTACGTTGTACCCCGTCAGACCAGTACATATCGAATCGAAAGAGCGCCATCTGGATCGGACACACCATTATTACGTACCTGCTGAATATTATCGGTGCGCTGTTCAACACTAGTGGGCTCGTCGTGTGTCTCCCCACTGACAAAAGTGACACAACGACGACTACAGTACAGCAACCAATTGGAAGCATCGGTCTTGTTTCTCTCTCACGGAGCAAGCACTAACAACTGACATGAACGTGCCATGCTTCATGAACGTGCCATGCTTCGGCTCAACACATCATTTTTCCAATTTTTTTCCCGTGTTGCCCCGCTATTCGCACTTTACGCAATTGCTCCGCATCACACGAAACGGTCACAACAGTACCTGTGTGCCGAGATCTTGGAGCTGGCAGGAAACGCCTGCCGCGACAACAAGAAGAAGCGCATCACCCCTCGCCACATCCAGCTGGCCATCCGCAATGACGAGGAACTGAACAAGCTTCTGGCGGATGTCACCATCGCAGAGGGCGGCGTCCTCCCCAATATCCACTCAATTTTGCTGCCCAAAAAGGTCGCGGCCAAGCTCGAAACCGACGGAAAGAAGTGATGTCGTGATATAGGTTTGTGTCTTACTTCTATATACCGTAGGTGACATGATGTAAGATATCACCCCCCCCGGGATGGATTTTTTAGAAACTCGATTTTCTCCACAGCTGAAACAAACAGTGGCGGTGCCGAAAATGTCGGAGTTGGAGCCGTCTCGTCGAGAGCTTTTCGAAAACGCATCGTTTCATTTATGCATCCTCTTCGTCGTGGAGCAATCGAGCTTGGAAAATCGATCCAGGGGGTGTGTTATCTTGTGTCACGTACGGTGCGTGCGCGAACGTACGACCCGAGAACAGAGGACAGACAGGGTGTCCGTAGAGACAGGATGGTACTGTACCGGTTCTATGAAGGCATGTGATCGCTTCGATCGAAAAGCTGCGATGCCGCCTCCCACCCACCCGTAGGCGGATCGACTGAAAAGAGATGGAGTTTCTCCTTCTATATATCGTTTAGGTCATGGAGATGTTCGGCATGATTTGAGTGCTGAAGGTTAGAGCCAATGATGGCAGTCCAACTTTCAGAGAATGGTGCGGAAGACGGGTTGTCGTGAAGGGGGGAGGGGGAGGGGTAGCTGCATGGTGGATTGGGTGATTTTGCGATTTTCACGCACAATCTTGGAGCCGCACAAGCGGCAGGTATACTAAACGGTAGCCGCTCTTGAGGCTTTGCTGTTCCTTGCTGTGGCAGGCAGGACGCTCTACTGTAGTTGTGATTAGGACTTGGTGAATATGATCAGCAAACAGGCCGTGGGTGGGTTTGGTAGTAGAGGAGGTAGTCCTGCTGTGACCTGCCAGATTTAGTTTTCATGTTATGTTTTTTGGTGTTTTTTGCGTACATGTAGGCGGTATTTCGCCGCCAACCTGTCTGGAAATGGTAGTGTAAAAATCGTGTGTTGTTTCTGAGTCTTTAACGCAAGAATCGACCTACCGGCCGACCGACTGGCAAAGCAAAAACCAAGCGTCGAGCTAGCTAAGGGCACGCTCCCGCCGCTGGGCAGTGGCACCAGAATAGTCTCAGCGATCAAATTGAGGCCTCTGGCGTACGGGTCGGTTGCGTACCGAACGACGGGGTCTTTGCGCAACTCGAGAGAGAAAAAAAACGGCTAAATAGTGAAGCTTTGGTTGCCGAGGCGGAAACCAAACAACTTCTCGGTTTTGGGAGGTCTGCGCTACCACGGCTGCCACAGCACTGATAATGTTTAGCACACGCCAAGGAGCTGAAGGAACTATCATCATTTTGTTTGTCCATGCTCTCTTTGGTTCAGGTTCCATTACCTTCCTGGAGGTTTGCCACTCACAAGAGTATTTCGCACTATTTCGCACGCTAGAGACTGTTATCACAAGCCGTTACGAACGATCCGGAGCAAGAGCACCCCCACGGCCATCACGAACAGCAGTCTTTCGTGTCCTCCCCCAATGGTCCTAAAAAGAGAGAGCGCATTCGCTTGCCCTGTTATCTTGTTGCAGACCACCAAATCGTACCCGCAACACATGCAACCCATGTTGGTTTGTTGGTTCGTTGGAAGTGTTGTCTGCACCAAGGATGAGTCCAAGTACGTGTACTGCTGCTGTAGAATCATCAACGGATTCTCTGTTGGGAGATGATCCTGCGTGGAAGGGAAAACATTCCAAGAAAGCGGCGTCTTGTTTGGCAACCAGTACCAGTCCCCCGAGTGAAAGTGTGGGTCAAGATTCGACAGGGGAGGCAAGGCAACGTTTTCCCAAAGAGAGCGAGAACGCATTAACTTATCATACCCCCATCACTGCGATACTTGTCTGCGAAGGTGCAATTTTCACAGTTTTACCCGTAAGTCCATGAACTGATCCTCGATTTCTCTAGGAGTGAGCACCGACAGAGACCATGGCAATGTCACGACTCCAACAAAAAACGTTTACCATGCGCGAAACGCAACGCGTCCGATATTGAGAGACACAAACACTGCTCTTCTACACAAACGACAAAACGCTACGCGTGTATGGCTCTAAGCTCCGCAAAACACTCACACTCTACCCAGCCACGTATCACGACCCACGCATACTGCTGGCTTACCACAACGCCAAACCAAAATAACGTGTGCTTACGTCGTGTGTGCATTTTCTAAAACAAGGGAGAAAAGAGATGTACATCTCCACCAACCGCAGTCCACCGTTGCTTCTATTCTACAATCCACATCATCGACCTCTCAACCAACACAAGCAATGAGAGGTCGCAAGGAGCAACATCCGCCACGAAACCTACGGGGGGACCAGGAGGACCCGCGAGGCATCACAGCTTAGAACCCACTCCATCGGCGTGCTCACACAGAGCCCTCATGTCCAGCAACGCCTCCTGGAGGTGGTGGCAGAGGCCGGACGACCACCCCTCAGGGCGGCGGCGGCAGGCGACCGTGAAGAGCAGCGAGCTCTTCTTGATCGAGTAGGCCACGCCCACGCCTTGGGTTGGCGTCCCAAGATTTTCAGTACGGGCGCAAGAGTACGACACGAGGGGGAGCATAAGTGGGATGAACACGACAGCAGTGCGCGGCCGTACGCAGTAGGTCTCACGCAGGACGTGAGGTTGGCGCGTGGATAGGTGGGGGATTGGTTGGTACAACGCCTGCTGTTGGTGGGGGACGGCAGGCAAGCATCGCTGTGTTGGATGTGCATGAGTATTGAGGAGGAAATCCGTCGGAGCGCCTCTGTCCCCTTCAATCAAAGCACTGTTGAGTACTGCGACGTAAGAACGCCAGATATGTCGAGGAGGAAATCCACCAGCGTTCCGGCACTGTCCTTCTGTCTATGCATATAGCATTGTACACTGCTGCGACGTTGGGCTACTGAGCGAACATCGCCGTGGTACAAGCAAGACAGGAAGCAAGACAAGAAGCACGACGACACTCACCGTCAGGCACAACTTCGCCCCAACCCCACCCATCAAACTGCTCGTGCGTCAAGTGACTCGTGCTCATGCGCCAGTGCTTGGATCGCGAGAACACCGGGTCGGTGAACACCGAGCAAGACTCATCTGTTGGTGGGAAGACAAATCGGAGCAAAGACCACAGGTGACGCTCTGAGACCTGTTCATGTGGAACTTTCAGCTTGAGACCTTGATCAAAAGACATGAACACAGCGGATGGAGAACGTTGCGTAGAACCATTGGCTCGTATGCAGACGCACACTCAAAGCCACGCACGCTTCAATTGAGGTGTAGACCAGCATCGACGTACAGCGGTGGAAAAATAAAAATTAGGAGGAAGCGTCGCTACAGCATGTACCTACAGCAGACCCATCTTCATCACGCCTCCTCCTCCCCAAACGGTTTCGAGCGCATCTCAAGAGCTTCACCGCTCCCACCACAGCTTGCCAAGTACCATCACGCATCGCTCTGTCTGCCACTAACCCTCGAAACCGTGTAAGCCACACTCACCGGCTGCCAGTACCCTCTGGAGTCCAAACAGGTGCCGGTCGACATCCTTACCCTTTGGAGAGCCAGGGTTGGAAGACACGAGGGCGCCGGGGGGGGGGGGGGGGGGGGGGACAAGGGAGCCCAAAAAAAGCCGCCTATTTTCGGGTTTGGGCCCCCCTTTTTAACGGGGAATGGTTTAACCCAAGATGCGCAGTTTTTGCAGAAGGGAAAAAAAAAAAAATTTGGGGCCTTTAAAACCCTTTCTTAACTTGGGAACCTTGGAAAAAAAAAAAAAAAACTTCCCCCTTTTT